GATACTGTGGCTTCAGTCACTCTAAATTATTTTGTTTCCTCAGAAGTTCCCTGGGTTTCTGTGACTCATGCTCTTTCCCTCTGAGGGAAGTGCCTTCCTCTTCTTCCCTCCACCCTCTCTTCTTCCTTACACGAATTCCACTTTTTAACCCACAGCAAGCCCAATGCAAGTCTGGAGGGTGTTCTCCTAGGTGTCACCATAGCACTGCAGTGTCAGAGCTCAAGGGGAGTTAGGTGAGCCAAGATAATCAAGAAAGCAAATTGTTTCTTACATGGGTGCAGGAACCAATTTCTGTCTGTGGCAGCACAAGGCTTGCAGGTGAGGGAAGTGAACAAATAGAGAAATGGCAAGCCAGTTCATTTGGAAATGAAGAAGGGTAATGGGAGAGACTAATTCAGTTACCAGTGGGGTTTTTAGTTGGCCTCTCTGCTAAGGAATGTCCGACTACTCGCTAATGGTGTGATCATTTTGAGTCCTCATACTCAGTAAAACTGTAATGGAAAAGTAGGCAATATCAAAATTTCCATTTATGAATTCTAGGGATTGAATCCCACGTAAAAACCAAAACTTGATATCTTTTTTTTTAGACAGGCAGAGTTAGACAGTGAGAGAGAGAGACAGAGAGGAAGGTCTTCCTTCTGTTGGTTCACCCCCAAAATGGTCACTGTGGCCAGCGCACTGCGCCGATCTGAAGCCAGGAGCCAGGTGCTTCTCCTGGTCTCCCATGCAGGTGCAGGGCCCAAGCACTTGGGCCATCCTCCACTGCACTCCCGGGCCACAGCAGAGAGCTGGACTGGAAGAGGAGCAACCGGGACAGAATCCGGTGCCCCAACCGGGACTAGAACCCGGGGTGCCGGCGCCACAGGCGGAGGATTAGTCTAGTGAGCCATGGCGCTGGCCTCTCCCATAACTTTTATTATTCTAGTCTGTAACACACAGAATATCCCTGGTTCGGTTTATTCTAAATATATATACTTAATAGAAAACATTGAAAATCTCCCTTATACTCACGTGATTATACTGAATAAAAATATGCACTCTGTGGGAGAGGACCAGCCGCCAGGGTGAGGCTCTGCTCTGCCTTCCGCCTTCCAGTCACTCACCACGCCCACCTGCGGGCGGTGATGGGGACGGGCAACACCTGGGGCGCGACCATGCACAGGACAGGTTGGCCACACAGGTCTGCCTGCCTTCCCTCAGTTAAAGATCTAACGAGACACGTGGGGAGTGCCCCGCTGGTGGGATTACTTAAAAGATACATTGTGTAAATTATTCATTTATGCCTTTTTAAAACTGTGTGTAACAGTTTCATTCTGTCAGCATGTAATGTTAAATATCATATAGTATTTTCAGACTTACTGTTCAACACATGACTATCTTGGCCCTATAACATGTAATCAGTTGCGTAAAATCTAGTTCTCTAATAAAAGTATAAGTGCAAAGGATATTTGATTTAAAATTCTTTTGTAATGTTGGCTGATTCTTTTGGTAGAAATCTGGTTAGTTTCAAATCAATAAGATAATCATTCAGTTATCCATTTTATAATGTAAATATTCGATAAAGAAGAGGAAATTAAATATCAAATTATTTGTGTGCAAAAATAGTACAGGAACCTCCTTGGGGCCTCATTTTGCCTCTTAAAAGTGTGCATTTTTTGGACTTGCTTTATCTGGTCAACAATGATGACCATTAAACACAGATTCAAAATACACTAGGAATCTCTTAGAGAACATGCAAACATGATCAAATATAAAATAAAAAGGGAAGAGTGTATCATGTCATCTTAGAAATAGTAGAAGAGCAAGAAATTTTTTAGGAGCTGGTGCTGTGACATAGCAGGTAAGGCTGTTGCCTGCAGTGCCGGCATCCTATATGGGTGCTGGTTCGAGTCTCGGCTGCTCCACTTCTGATTCAGCTCTCTGCTATGGCCTGGGAAAGCAGTAGAAGATGGTCCAAGTCCCTGGACCCCTGCACCCACATGGGAGACCTGGAAGAAGCTCCAGGCTCCTGGCTTCAGATCAGCACAGCTCCAGCTGTGGCGGCCATCTGGGGAGTGAACTAACTGATGGAAGACCTCTCTCTCACTCTCTCTCCCTTTCTCTCTCTCTCCTCTCTGCCTCTCTGTAACTCTGCCTTTCAAATAAATACATAAATCTTTAATAAAAAATTTGTTATGAACTGTTCTTACACCATGGACATAATTAAGATAATAAGATTGATTTTATCCAATAAAAATGTTCTTGTTATGAAACTTGTAGAATCAAGTTTATAGATACCAGTGCTTAGGCTTAGAAAGCATATATCTAAGTGCATTCTGCTGTTCTCTGGGTTTGATTGTAAAATCACTCACTAGCACAATTTCAGGAGACATTATTAATTCACAGCTTAGCTCAGAGCTTTCCAGTCCTCAGGAATTTCCTTCCTTGCACCTTGAGGTCAAGGGGATGTCAGGGCCCCCCAGTAATATCCCTAGGAATTTGGGGGTGGACATTGGGTCTAGCAGTTAAGGTGTTCATGTCACACATCAGAGTGCCTGTGCTCAATGCCCAGCTCTTGCTCCTAATTTCAGCTTCCTGCTAATGCAGGCTCTGGGAAGTGATTACGATAGTCCCTCCATCTTAGTCTACTCCACCCTCCTAGCAGATCTAAACTGAGTCCTGGGCTCCTGGCTTCATCTTATTTGCAGTGTTATGATCATTTGGAGAATGAACCAGTGGATGAGATCTCTCTCTCTCTCTCTCTCTCTCTCTCTCTCTCTCTCTCTCTGCCTCTCTGCTTCTCCATCTCTTGCCTCTCAAATAAATAAATACCTATTTTTTAAAAATATATTCTCATTGGTTTTTGGCAACAGCTAATTGAAAAAGTTTGCTCACTTAAGATGTCAGCAAAAATGTCACTGAGGCCTAATTTTCAGCTCTTCATGTGGTGACCATCTCTGAGAATAACCCAAGCTGGCATAGGCCCTTATGAGGCCCCATCCCATCCTCCAATCTCTGTCTCCACTTGGAGGCAGCAAGATCTTGAAACCAGTATGTACTGAAATATTTCAGTTCTCTAATGTTAGGTGAGGCTTGGGTTAACCAGTTGTGTGTAAAGGGCAATTAACTGTCCTGAAGAAACTTTGCCTTCTGCAGTCTCCAAATTCATTTTCCCTTTTAGTTAGGGATTTGGACTTACCACCTTGATAGACCGATCCGTATTCACCATTTGAATGGTCTCTGCCAAGGAACACACTGAAAGGAGCTAATTTCCACAGTAGTACCATTGGTTTTATCTCTAATGAAAATTCCAAATATTTATTATCATGAATTGTCTTTTTAAAAATTTTTATTTGTATAAGGGGAACAAGTTTCATGTATTTCATATATACAGTTTCTTTTTTTTTATTTATTTGAAAGGTAGAGTTATACGGAGAGGAAGAGACAAAGAGAAAGGTCTTCTATCTGCTGGTTCACTCCCCAGATGGCTATAAAGGCCAAAGCTGGGCTGATCCTAAGCCAGGAGCCAGGAGTTTCTTCTAGGTCTCCCATGCAGGTTCAGGGACCCAAAGACTTGGGCCATGTTTTTTTTTAAGATTTATTTATTTATTTGGAAGTCAGAGTCACACAGAGAGAGGAGAGGCAGAGAGAGAGAGAGAGAGAGAGAGAGAGAGAGGTCTTCCATCTGATGGTTCATTCCCCAATTGGCCGTAATGGCCAGAGCTGTGCTGATCTGAAGCCAGGAGCCTGGAGGCTCTTCCAGGTCTCCCATATGGGTGCAGGGGCCCAAGGACCATCTTCTACTGCTTTCCCAGGCCATAGCAGAGAGCTGGATCAGAAGTGGAGTAGCAGGGTCTCGAACCATCGCCCATATGGGATGCCAGCGCTTCAGGCCAGGGCATTAACCCACTGTGCCATAGCACTGGGCCCCTTGGGCCATCTTCTACTGCTTTCCGAGGCCATAAGCAGAGAGCTGTGCTAGAAGAGGAGCAGCCAGGACTCGACCTAGTGCTTATATAAGATGGCGGCACTGCAGGCGGAGGCTTAGCCTACTATGGCACAGAGACAGTTGCATTACATTTTTTTTTTCATATATACAGCTTTAAGAGCATAATGATACTTCCCACCCTACCCACTCTCCTCCCTCACTCCCACCCTCCATCCTCCTTTCTTTCTTATTTTTCTTTTAATTTTTACAATGACATACTTTCAGGTTACTTTATAATCAAAAGCTTAACATTCCACTAAATAAAGAATTCAGCAAGTAGTAAGTAGAAAAACCACTATTCCTCAAGAGTATAGACAAAGGCTATAAACAATAATCAAATACCAAAATGTCAATTTCACTCTTATATGTTAAACTTTTTATACTCTGTACATTGTCTTTTAATATGCTTTTCTACCTAAACACGTGTTAGTTTCCTTAATTATGTACATTGTCTTTTAATATTCTTTTATACCTAAGTACATGTTAGCTTCCTTAATTAAGACATTATTCCTTATGAAGTAAAAATATTTTAATGAAATCTTGTTGAGATCTTGGATTTATGGTTCTTTTTCTCTCCTAGACAAACATTTTACTTCCTTTCTGTTCTTACATTGAAGATTGAGATACAACTTCTACGTGCCATAGAAAATCTTATAATTATCAACAATATATATCCTCTGATATCATGCCTTGAGAAGGGTATATCAGCCCTGTGGGATGCTTCCCAATAATTCATAACCTCAGTCCAATCATGAAAAACATCAGGCAAACCTAACTGGAAAAAACATTCTGTAAAATGACTAACCAATCATCTTCAAAATCTTATAAGTAACTCTCATTCCATTAAACAAGCCATACTTTCAAAAGTGCCCATTCTATAAATTTGACAAAGATTGAAAATACTTGAAAAATTATTCTTTTAGAAAGATGTTTCATTAAATCAATGGAGTGATCAAAATGTTACCTGCTAGTTTGCCTAAAATAAGCATGTTCCAATAGTTTTATAACACGTTTCCATCACATTTCTCCACAGGTGATTCAGCTAATCTAACCTGCAGAGCTTTCTTTGGGTATAGTGGAGATGTCAGTCCTTTAATTTACTGGATGAAAGGAGAGAAGTTTATTGAAGATCTGGATGAAAATCGAGTTTGGGAAAGTGACATTAGGTAAAATAATTTTTTTTCTTTTAACCTGTGAAGTCAAGATTAAACATTTGCTCTGTTCACAAATGGAAAATGAGGTAAAAGAAGGAGGGTTTTTTGTTTTAACATTTCACAGTACAAATATGCTTTTTCGTATTATTTAATGGCCAAGAAGCAAAAACATTGTTAAGAGACTATGGAACTGCAAAGTACGAGTGCAAAGAATTTAGGAGAATAAAAAGAAATGTTTATAATGCTTAAGCTTCTTTTTTAGAAAAATGTATTTACTGATTTATTTATTTGCTTTTAAGAATCAAGGTATTTAATGCTGATGAAAAATGTACTTAAGCATAGATAGTTATTTTTAATCCTAATGTAAAATGTGCAATATTAATAACAACTCAGTTACACCCACATCAACATGATGATCATTTCTAAACATTCTCCCCTCTAAAGGTTGCATCTTCTGGGTATATATGAGCATTTTAACCCGTGTTCTGCATTTTAAATGTCAAGACTTTGAAAACATTGTCAAAGGTAGAAGAGAAAATGTTGTTCAAAAGAACACAAAAACATATAAAACTGTCATATGAGATTATTTCTACTGGGATCTTCTTTCTGACAACAAATACACAAGAATATCATACTTTAGAATACTACAATCAGATTCTGGAAGGCCCAGATGGGCAATTCTCCAATGCGAACTAAATATGCTCGTCTGCCATTTTTCACATTTAAAACTTCAGTCTTTTCTTTTACCCATATGCTCTGAAATGCTAAAATTAAAAAAAAAAAGGACCATAAACTTCTTAACTTTTACCTCCTCTGGTTTTGTGTATATGGGGGAAGGTTCTAGAAAGGTATCTTTTCCTTCATGCTAAAGTAGGAAATGTTGCACAGATGAGTTACTCACAGGTGGGTACAATGAGAATAGAGAAAGGGAACCCCTGTTTGAAGTTTTCCATTTGAACTTAAAGATGGCTAAAATCTTTGATAGTGATGTTAGCAAGCACTGATCATTAATTTTAAATGTCAGAATTAAACACTTTATTAAAACTTTTAGTCTATAGGTTTATAATTTCATGCTTCTTTAAAAATAAAAAAAAAATTAAGCAAATGGTTTGTTTTAACAAAAGTCAGCCTTGAGGTTTCAACTGAAATGTCAAAATAGCTCAGAAATTTTCTTCTTTTTGTAAATTAACCTGATATATAATCAGGCCTCCAGCCATAGACATTACAATTTCTTATCTCAGATTTACACCATAGTTCTTCTTAAAGAAAAAGCAATTTGTATATTTTTCCTCAAGGTCTCTCTCACCTCTTTATTATGACAGTGTGATTGTCCTGCTAAGAGAGATAATTAACTGCAACTTCATTAGCATCTACAAAGACAAGCTTCCTCATTAGAAGTGAAGAAGAAAAGGGCATGATATAATTTAATTAACATAGCATCAATGAGTAGCCAAACGTGAAGCCCAGATGCTGTAGGTATTTTCAGATCAGATTCAGATACATGTACATTTATTTCTTTTTCATGTATGTGTATGTCTGTCTGGGTTTTTTTGTTTGTTTCGTTTTGCTTTATGTTCTAGAATTCTTAAGGAGCATCTTGGGGAACAGGAAGTTTCCATCTCATTAATTGTGGACTCTGTGGAAGAAGGTGACTTGGGCAATTACTCCTGTTATGTGGAAAATGGAAATGGACGTCGACATGCTAGTGTTCTCCTTCATAAACGGGGTGAGTATAACCTAAGTTATAGCCATCAACTGAGCATACAATCAGAGGGCAATCATTGGGAACCAAAACCAGATGAAATTTTGTTTTCCTGCATATACTTGCCCTAAATAAAATAATCTCATTAGCACTAGGGGCATCAGAGCAGACAGAGATTCAAATTTGGATTCCTTGCTCTGCTTTCATATCAACTGTGCAGCCTTGGGCAAGGTATCTAGCTTCCCTAAGCTTCAGTTGCCTGAAATACAGAATAGAGAAAACAATAGGATCAACTCTTTAGTGTGGAGTAAGGATAAAAGAAGATCATAAATGTGAAGGGCTTGACACAGAGCCTGCAAAAAGAAAGCATTTTAGTTAAATGCTATTTATTGGAAATAGGCATTAGTTTATTAAAAATGACCAGATGTTTTAAGTCAAAGATTGTATTTCTTATTGGAAGGTTTCCTTTAGTATAAGAACTATTTCTGGTGGTTTCTCCATTGCAGAGTTTCTTGATAATTTCTTTATCTCCCACTAATAACCTGTTCAAGTGTAATATCCTTCCTTATTGAATAACAATTCATTGTAAGATAGGTTGCAGTTGAGTACAAAGTCTGCTGCACTAATTCTAACTCCCTAGCAGCCCCATCATGTTATGCATAGGGTTATAATATATATAAATTTGCATTGAATTGTTTGCCTTTTAGTGAAATTTTTGTGCACTTTACAAGAGAAAAATATTACTCTATATTATACTAAATGAAAACTTTCTAGTCTTTGGCAAAAGTACACTTGAAGTTCACTTACTCAGCAAATTTTCCATGATTTTAATTTCAAAGAACATGTTTAATCCTAGACTCTTTGAGGTTTGAAAAAAAAACAGAGCATTGAAGACTGTTTCCCCTACTTTATCGGACAATAGATTCTTTTTGAATAATGCTACTGAAAGCTATTAAAACAGACACCTCTGTTGTCAAGGTGACTACAGTATTAAAATAGCCTACTTTTGAGGATGTGAGTTGAAAGAATGTAAGCAGCAACTAGCAACATAATTATTTCTTTCTATGGCTTAATATATAGTAAATGGAGGAATTTGCGTGGAAGTAGCATGCATATACAAGAACAGAAATAGCTTCTCGGGGTTGGAAGCAACATAAATGTCATGTAATTGAACTGCTTATCCTCCCATAGCATCTTCTAAAGTGGGCTAACAGCTTATATTGGCGCATATTCCCTCTCAAGGAAGCTCATTCTATCTTTGGGGAAAAGTCTGTTAAGAAGTATCCCTTTTTGACTGTCTATTCATTGACCCTAGTTCTATACATCTAGTCACTTTTTCCCAAGAAACCCCTTCAAATATTTGATGATAGCCATCATGATCTTGCTGGATCTTTACTTTGCCAGATTCAACTGCTTTTGCTCCTTTTGTTTATTCTTCATGGTATGGAAGAAATCCTTGCACTATTTTGATCACTCTCTTGAGCATGCTCTCATTAAAGACTTTGAATTATTCCCCAAGAACGGACATAGTGAACGGAAGATATAGGGCATATTCAACAATATGTTGACCTAGATAATGTTTATTTTCCTTTGGGGAAAAATTGGGGTGACAATTAAGCAACAATCATAAGGAGAGAGGAAGGAAAACTGAGTTTTGTCTAAGGATAGAGCTATTAAAGCTCTGTTTTGACAGACAGGCACATAGCCAGGAAGGTGGAGCACCACCCTCCCTCCCAGGGCTAATTTTAGAATGTGAAGCTCAAGGTTAAGTTTCACAAAGCTACAAAGGCTTCTGCTTCTAGAAAAATAAGTGATTGAGGAATCAAGGAATTTGTTTGAAAACACTTTTCCAGTAACATCTGATTCCCTAAACATGAAAAAGTAAATTGTGGCCAATGTTAGAGTGTTCTTCAATCCTAAGACTTCCACAGTGTTTTTTCTAATATTTATTTTTATCAATAGGATTTAATTCTTAGTAAAATAAAAACATTAAGAAACCAAAGGACATCAAGGCCCTGTACACCAAAAGTCCCTGTTAACGTGAACGTGTGCCTTCTTTTTAAGGGAGCTGTGGTGAGTCATCAGATCACAGAGGCAGGGATGGATGCAATCTCTTGCTTTTGAGGGGCTCATTACCAAGTGGAATGATCTATTCCACCCCTCCTGCAGGAAAAGAAAGGTCTTCATCAATAGATGATACATCAACAACTTCGCCGGCCCTGTAAGGTTCAGAAGAACAGACTATAGCATTTGTGAGCTGATCAGTTTGGGTCTTTGATCATAGAAGTTCCAGAAAAAGCATACTAGTAATTATGTAATTATCAGATGATAGATTACTCAGAAGATTAAGGTTCTGAGAAGGAACTGAGACTTTCTGCTATTAATCATATTTTTCTGCCACTGACTCATGAATTCTTTAACAGCCCTTAAAAGTCTTCTTTTTACAAATCTCCCTAGAGATACATATTGAAGCATTTGTTTGGGTGAGTATTTGGCTGACAGTTAAGAAGTTGGTTAGGATGCCCACGTTCCATATCCGAATACCCAAGTTTGTTCACTGGCTCTGACTAGGATTCCAACTTCCAGCTAATAGAGACCCGGGGAAGTAGCAGGTGATGCTTCAAATAGTTGGGTCCTTGCCATCCATGTGTGAGACCTAATTCAGGCCCAGCTTCAGCCCATCTAGCCTCAGCATTGAAGGTATTTGAGGAGTGAAACAGCGGGTAAGAGCACTTGCTCATGCACCTGCACTCTCTCTCTTTCAATTAAATAAACAAAAAAATTTTAAAAACACATCTGTTGAATACAGGTCTTGGACACCACAAACTGTCATTTTTTTCTGACAAGTAAACTTTCCTAGGACATATCTTTGCAAAAGTTATCTTAGCATATTATCTCTTGTTCACTATTGTTGATATAACATGATTTCTGAGCCTTCAAATGGGTGGTATGGATTCTTTGAAACAACACTCTTATATATCAAATGTGTTTTCCTTAATGCCAAGAGGATACTGTAATAAATAATTCAGCTACATTTGAGTTAGGCTAGATGGTGGATCAGCCTTTATCTTTATAAAAGACTCTTAATTCCATATAAGTCAATTCTACAAGAACATTTTACAATAGAAAAACATTGCTTGAGAATATCCCTGGCTGTCAGTTTCTACAGCCAGGAAGGGTACTTGGACAGTTGGAATCATGGCAGATACACAACACAGATATATCTCTCTTAGTTTACAGAGCACTTGGATATGAAGTGGGGCAGAATTTAACAATGAAGAAACAAGGCCCATGGAGTCATACTAATGTATGACTATTCTGCCCCTTACACCTCATTTCTAGTTAACAGCTTCTTTTCAGTCCTAATTTGCCAGTCCTGGCCTGGCAAGCTTGACTGTTAGTTTCTGGCCCCCAAAACATCCAAAATAAATGGTTGCTATATTTGTTACTGGGTTATTTCTTGTTTCTCCCACTGCCCATATTTGATTGAATTCCATGTCTAAGGCTCTGCATCTTCTACTCAGACGTCTTTGTTAGGATTTCTAATTGTTTTTTTTTTTTTTTTTCTGACGGGCAGAGTTAGGCAGTGAGAGAGATAGAGAGACAGAGAGAGAAAGGTCTTCCTTCCATTGGTTCACCCCCCAAATGGCCACTACGGCCGGCGCACTGCGCCAATCCGAAGCCAGGAGCCAGGTGCTTCCTCCTGGTTTCCCATGCAGGTGCAGGGCCCAAGCACTGGGGCCATCCTCCACTGCCTCCCCGGGCCACAGCAGAGAGCTGGACTGGAAGAGGAGCAGCTGTGACAGAATCTGGTGCCCCAACCAGGACTAGAACCTGGGGTGCCGGCGCTGCAGGCGGAGGATTAGCGAAGTGAGCCGCGGCGCTGGCCCAGGATTTCTAATTGCTACTGCCTATCTAAAAATGCATTAAACACTGATTGTCAGTTTTCCTCCCAAGCTCTGGCCTTGTCTATTCCCCCCATTCTATTCTGTATGTTTTCCATTTTTCTGACACAAATAATACTCAAATACCCTGCAGCTCTATACTCTGACCTCAGAACTAGTCAAACTTTGTCCAGTCAGGCAGTCCTAAATTCCTTCTTGTCTGTTTATTTTGTTCATATTATCTCTCTGGATGAGGGCATGGACTTGTCTGTGCTATCTTGGGCAAGCCTTCATCTCTGTGAGCCTCAAATTTCTCTTCTATAAAATGGAAATAGTAAGAAGACCTACAACATAAAGAAGCTGTGGGAATTAAATGAAGTTTATATATGTTAATAGTTATCACACTGACACCTACTTAGCACTTAATAAATATTAACAAGCTACTACAAGATTTCCCTGCTCCAACTATGTCATAGTCTGGGTAATGAAGGATACAGTAATTGCATATTCCTTTTAAAAAATCCCTGAATTCTAATTCATCTTTTATCAAAATACTCAGCTTTAGCTCCAGTGATTTTCTTATATTGATTCTGAATTTGACCTTATGATAGATTTACATTGGTTTGAATGTACTTTTCAAAAAAAAAAGGGAGCTTAATTCATTTATTCGTACATGTAACAGTGATAACTAAGAAGCTACATGTGCCTGGGTTTGTGCTAGCCACTCATAAAATTAAATGAACAAGAAATAAGGACCAATATAATTTGGAATTTTGTCATTTACTTTTTAAATTACATTGATACTAAACATCCCTAATATGGAATTGTGCCTCTAGTGCATGTTGGACCTTGAAACTATCACATTAAGGCTGTTTATTAACAATCTCCCTCTAAATGGTTATGTTTACTTATATTGATTACAATAATATGGCAATTCATTCATCACAAATTAGTTTGGAACAGGCAAAGTATCTATCTGAGAGATTTAGCACTAGTTAGCGATGATAAGCATCTAGGCTTTCTCTATTCTCCCTTAAACCCATTTTCTTTCTTATGCACACTCTCTCCCTCCAAAGAATTTAATCAATGGGAATTAGACTTGCTCAATAAACTCCCTAGTCCTCAAAGTATCTTTAGTAA